TGAACTGAGGGGCCCAGAACTGAACACAATATTGCAGATGTGGTCTCACCAGGGCAGAGTAGAGGGGAAGGAGAACCTCTCTGCCCTACAACCACCCCTCCTGATACACCCCAGGATGCCATTGGCCTTCTTGGCCACAAGGGCACATTGCTGGCTCATGGTCATCCTGCTGTCCACCAGGACCCTTTCCCCTGTGCTGCTCCCCAACGGGTCAGTCCCCAGCCTATATTGATACATGGAGTTGTTCTTTCCCAGATGCAAGACTCTACTCTTGCCTTTGTTGAATTTCATTGAATTTTCCCCTGCCCAACTCTCCAGCCTGTCCAGGTCTCTCTGAATGGCAGCACAGCCTCTGCAGCGTCAGCCACTCCTCCCAGTTTGGTGTCATCAGCAAATTTCTGACAGTGCCCTCCGTTCCCTTGTCCAGGTCACTGATGAACAGATTGAATAGTACTGGTCCCAGTGCTGACTCCTGAGGGACACCACTAGATACAGGCCTCCAGCTGGACTCTGTCCCATTGACCACAACTCTGACTTCTTTCCTTCAGCCAGTTCACGATCCTCCTCACTATCCAATCATCCAGACCACACTTCCTCAGTTTAGCTGCAAGGATGCCAAGGGAGACTGTCAAATGCTTTACTGAAATCAAGATAAATCACATCCACTGCCCTACCAGCATCTGTCCACCTGGTTATGTCCTCATAAAAGGCTGTTAGGTTGGTCAAACATGGTTTCCCCTTGGTAAAACCACGATGACTGCTCCTAATGATCCTGATAACCTTGAAATGTCTGGAGACAGCACCAAGGATAAGCTGTTCCATCACCTTTCCAGGGATGGAGGTGAGGCTGACCGGTCTGTAGTTACCCGGGTCCTCCTTCTTGCTCTTTTTGAAGACTGAAGTGACACGTGCTTTCCTCCAGTCCCCAGGCACCTCTCCTGTTGCCCATGACTTGCCAAACATGATGGAGAGTGGCCTAGCATTGAGTTCCACCAGCTCCCTCAGCACCCACGGGTGCATCCCATCAGGGCCTATGGATTTATGGATGTTCAGATTGCTTAATCAATCCCTAAACCCAGTCCTCATCAACCGAGGCGAACTCTTCCTTTATCCTGACTTTCTTTGGGGCCTCACGGGTCCAGCAGTGTAGACAGAGACAAAGGCGGCGTTCAGTAACCTCATCTTCTTAGTATCCTCTGTCACCAGGGCACCCACCTCTTTCAGCAGTGGGCCTACATTGCCTCTAGCATTAGTTTTGTCTGAAATGTATTTGCAGTAGCTCTTACTGTTGTCCTTCACCTCCCTTGCACGGTTTAATTCCAAGGAGGTCTCAGCTTTCCTAGTTGCCTCCCTACATCCTCTGACAACAGTTCTGTATTCCTCCCAAGTGACAGTCCCCTCCTTCCATGACCTATAGACTTTCTTCTTCCACTTCAGTTCGCCCAGCAGTTCCCTGTTTAACCATGCAGGTCTCCTGGCTCCCCTTCTTGATTTCCTGCTCACTGGGATGCTCTGATCTTGAGCTTGGAAGAAGTAGTCCTTGAATATAAACCAACTATCTTGGGCCCCTTTACCTTCTAGTACCCTGTCGCATGATATTTCCCCCAGCAATTGCTTGAAAAGGCCAAAGTTTGCCCTGCTGAAGTTCAGGGTTGTGATCCTGCTTGGTGTTCTGTTCTTACCACACAAGGTCCTGAACTCCACCGTCTCATGGTCACTGGGGAAGTGGAACAAAAGGTGCCTAATTTAATTTAAATCTCTCTGAGAGCACAGATATTATTTGTGTCCAGACTTTACAGGCATAACTCCTACAAGTAGCCATCCAGAAAACAGTTTCCATAAGCTACAGCAACTAATGGCAATGGCAGTGGGATGTGGAGAAGATAACACGTTGACATGGAAAGAGCACATTTTCTGAAGGACTGTGCTATGGGGACACCAAGCATATGCACCTCCGTAAGCAGGTCATCCCTGAGCACCCATTACTTAACTTCTTTTATGTCCCTGCTCAAGCTTCTTTGCAGGCATTCAGTACAGTCTGTTTTCCAAGAGCTTATGTGTGAGCATTCAGATAATGCTGAGGAGCAAACAGAATAGGGGATTTGTTTCCATGTTTGAGAGGCATAGAGCAAATGAAGGAACAAAACTCAACTCAACGCAGCCAGTCCACCCACAAATCTCCTTGCTGCTCTGTAAGTACAGATGCATTGCTGGGTAACTTACCCTCTTCACAGTTGCTCCCTGTGAAGCCAGGACAGCACCTCCACTCCAGCGTGGTCACAGTTCTGTAGGACATTTTGTACATGGGCCTGATGAGAGTCCTGTAACTAACACAAACAGTAAGTCAGTAGAATGCACGTACCTAATTAAGGGTAGCGTTGCTACTTATTCATAGCATGTCTTCCTGCCTGGATTATATCCCCAGAGCACCCAGCCACCCCCAGCTACAGAAAAAGATGACACACAAAATAAAAGAGTAAGGGTTTACCACAGCATGGATCTGATTCAACAATCCTTATTTTTCTCCTTCAGCCCTCATACTCTTCTGGTTCTTCCCCACACCTCTCCCCAGATAACATCAGTATGCTTTGTGGAGGTCTCATTTCTACCAAGTTGTTGCAAGTAGCAGAGATCATGACTTGTTTCCTCCACTCTACCTCCCTGTGTATTTCTCTGACATTGAACAAAGGCTGTTTTTCCTTTCTTCACTCAATGTTAAATCATAGAATGGTTTGGGTTGGAAGGGACCTTAAACCTCCCCCAGCCCAACCACTGCCATGGGCAGGGACACCTCCCACCAGCCCAGGCTGCTCAAAGCCCCGTCCAACCTGGCCTTGAACACTGCCAGGGAGGGGGCATCCACAACTTCCCTGGGCAACCTGGGCCAGTGTCTCACTACCCTCCAAAACATTACTCTTACAAAAATGCATAAATCTCTCAGGTGTCTTCCCTTCTCCCAACTTCAGCACTCAAATCTGGGGTGTATCCACACATTAGCGTGACAAAGCTCATCACGACACAACTCTACAGCAGCGATCTGTGTGGAGCCTTCTTATTCAGCTGACCTGCACCTCAGTTCTCCTCATCTGAAATACAGTTACAATCTTCTTCAACACAGTCAAAGCTCTACAGGATGCATTTGTTAGCTCTGTATACAGCTCACAGTCCCCCAGGGTTACAATTAAAGCACGAGTATTGCCGTGCCCCACTGGAAACTAGAGGGGCTACCTGCAGACACAAGCAGATCTGTGCAAGGCACCAGTGATTCCAAAGTCAATGCAAAATGGACAGTTGCATAAATGCCAGCTTTTCTTTTAAAACAGCAGCCCTTCAAAGCTGGCAAAACAGAGTTTTCCCAGTATACAGCCAGACAAGTCACTGCTGCTATTCACAAAGCTAAAAGCAAACAGAAGTCGCACTCCACAAGCTCCCCTCAAAATTCCTACCCTTATTTAACAGCCAAAGGAATTTGGCATGCACAGAGAGAGGCTGAAGCTTTGGGATTACAGTGTTGCAGGCTACAGCTTAATCCTTTTTTCTCAAGGCCAGGCAGACAAGCCCCAAGCAGCCGGGTTTCCTCAGGGGAAGAGCCTCCTCCCGCAGTGCCGAGATCCACCAGGAGACGGAGCGCTGCCCCAGCCTGCAACCCAGCCCCGGGCTCAGCCAGGCACAAGGCCAAAATGGAGCTAGAAACTGCATAAACCTCAACCAAAACCCCTCCAAGGGGTAGCAGACACAGGTGTCCATCCAGGACCGCACCATTGTGACACTGGTTGTTACTCTGAAGCACAGTAATAGAAGACTGCCAGGAGAGGCTGCCCACGTATGTCTTGGAAAGAAGGCAGCAGCTCGGTCGAGGTTAACGACATCTTCAGGAAACTAATTTCGCAGTAAGCTGCTGATTATTTATGCCAGCTGCCAAGCACAGAAACCAACTTCTATAGCCACTGGAAAGGAGGACTGCACAAGCCTCCTCCTGAGCACGTGGCTGCCTGCACTTGGAACAGCATCACCCAGCGATGAGAGAGCAACAGTCCCCGAGACCACTACATCCTCACCCTCCGAGTTGCCAAAAAGCACGCCAGTCACTGGTAATATCGACAACTGTGAACCCGGCACTTGTCTAATACGGGCTGGACAGAGCCAGCTCATCTCACCTAGTTCTTTGCACTTCTGCATCCAGTGGCATTCAGGAGTTTGTAGTCATGAGTGAGTTTGAGGACTTGGCACCACGCTGATGACCTTCAACAGTTTTTCAGAGAGACCTAAGGCACGAAAACTTTAAGTGTCACGGAATCACAGAATCTCAGGAGTTGGAAGGGACCTCGAAAGCTCATCCAGTCCAACCCCTGCCAGAGCAGGATCACCAGACCAGGTCACAGAGGAACACGTCCAGGTGGGTTTTGAATGTCTGCAGAGAAGGAGACTCCACAACCTCTCTGGGCAGCCTGTTCAGTGCTCTGGCACCCTCAGTGTCTTGCCTAGGGTCTCTGGGAACAGCCCTGACAAAGTTCAGGAACTGAACCCAAGTCTCCCAACTCCCAGTCCTGGCATTGTACTTGAGACATCTTTCTACACGTAAGCCCCAAACCATCAGTCAGAAGTTCATGACTTTGTCACTAACACCACAGCTGGATTTGACCTTGAGATGAAAGTCTCCAGCCCCGTCACCAGTGTCCAGAGCCAGCTAGTCTCCAACCACACCGTGATTTTAAAACCATGTTTCTGCCAACGCCAAGATGTTAAAGCTCTCTCAAACTTCATTATGAAGTGTGGAGAGTGGCTTGAGCCAGACTGGAATCTTGGCAGCAGTTCTGTGTCGGGGAAGTAGCTATAGTTTAATCCTCAAACGAGCAAGGACTTCTTGGGGCATGACAAATGTGGAGCTCAGCTCTCACAGGCTACCACCCACTCTGAATTTCCTGGAAGAGTCCTGACATTTGCAGCTCTTTTCAGCATTGTGCAGTCAGGCATGCAAAGTGGTCCCAGCTTTCCAGCTCAAATTTGCTGCTGTAAAGTTGCTCTGTTCTTCGTAACATCATTTTTCCTCAATCATGTGAAATGGCAGCAAGGCCTGTTGTTACACGTATCATCACATCACACAGATTTCTGACTGCTACTCCTAGAGGGGAGCAAAGCAGACTCCTTTAACAAAGGATCACCACTGTCTGACCCCTGAAGTGTTGCAACTGAAGGATAAGAAAAAACACTGGAAAAGGAGAGGAAGAGATGCGTTTTGAAGATCAGAAGCCACGGCATGAAAACGTGTGGAAAACACAAGAGGCAGAAGAGGGACTGGTATCAGAACAGGAAAGTCACGGATGTCACCCAAGCCACAAACACTGGCACAGAAATCTGCAAAACCATCGTAAGATAAGAGGTTAGGATGAGCCACAGCCCGTATCTCTTTGCTTCCCAGACAGCCAAAGGATGTGCTCAGCATACAGTCCCCTTCAGCCGAAGGCTTCCAAGCACTTTAAAGAGAAGCAAACTGCCAGGACCTGCTCTACTGCAAGAGATAAGCATCAGGTAGCAACTCATTTACTGAGGCTCCCAGCAAGGTCCCAGTGAGTGGGGCAACACCGAGGGACATCTGGCTGACCGTGGAGACTGCCTGGTCCATGTCAGACAAGCTACAGGAGCTCATCCGCATGCACACTTCCTTCAGGAAACAATCTCTTGCTTGTGCCTCTCTAAGTGACTGCTCAGGAAGTGGCAATTTGGGGAAGAAGCACAAGATGACTGATTAACTGATTTGGGCATATGAAGCTAGGAGTACTGAAGAGGTCAGGACGCATTGAGGGATGGCAGCCAACAAGTCTCATGCCTTAGCGCACAAGGATCTGTTCCCCCTGCTCTCAGGGAAGTGTCACTGAACACAACAGCCAGGCGTGACACAAGAGAGTGTCACATTCTTGGATCAGAGTCTCAAAAACCAGGTCAAAGAGAAAGGTGTGATCTCTGCCATTACCCAAGAAGGACAGCCTGTCACACACAGGAAATACCTTCCCCCTTTATGGATTTCCTCTGCCCTTTGACACTTACAAACAAAGCTGTTTGTACACGATGGCCACATGAGGGGCAAGGCGTGAAACTCATTTCCACATCACAAGGGAGGGTTTTGTTAGTGTGATTCATTCAGCCATTGCAGTTTGTGCCCGAGGAGACCTCAGTGACCTTCAGAGGCTTCTATTCATTTATATTCAAGTTCCAGGTTGAAAGTTTCACCAGAGTAATCATCAGCTCCTATCTTTATAACAATTAAATCCCAGTGATGTTGCAGAGCAGCGTTGCACTCCACTTGCAAGGAGGAAGAGCGCTCAGACAGCATGTCTGGACAAGATCAAAAGGTCTTCAATTAGCAGCCTGAAGATACCTGTGCACAGTCTCCAGAGCAGATGGGCCTCCAGCTGTGCCCAGCTAGCACCACACGGCCATCCCCATTGTTCCCAAACCTGAGAACTGTCTTTGTGCTGCAGCTCTAATCCCTTACACACCCAGAGCTTTTGCTGTCCTCTTCACAGGAGCACTGTTCATCCTACACTTACATCCCACGTGTGCATGGGAGGGCAGGCATCTTTTTCCAAGGGTATGACTCTACATCTTGGAGTGATATAAGGGAATTAAACACATAAAAGAGTTTGTGAGTAACAGGGCTTCAAACAGCAATCCTAATGCACTGGAATAAGCTTTGGGATTTATTATTCAATTGACTGGAAGGAGAAAGAGGATTTCCCTGTGGCATTACTACTTCTGAAACTGAGGAGAAACATCAGCTACAGGCCAATCTCTTGGGTGACAGATCCCCAACTTCTCTTACTGACCCTGTAGCAATAGTCTTCAAAAACAGGGAACACCAAAATGGATGAGCCTGCAGAATTCCTCCTTTGTTATTCTGCAAACTAGCTTGTAAAATCCCTCCGGGAGCAGAAATGTGCTCAGTTTAAATGAAAACAATAAAAAAGAAAACCCATCATTCAAAAACACCAAACAGCAAGAACAATCATTGCAAGATATGTAGCCTGCTTACATTAAAAGAGTCGTCAAAAGCACACAGCATTTGTAATAAACCAAAGCAGCTAGGATATTGAAAAGAAAAAAAAACAACATGAAATGACTGGCAGTTGGGAAGGGCATTACAGCCCAGATATGCTGTGCTGCAGGAATCCCTTTCCATCTCTCCCACCTGCGAGTGATGTTTAAAGGTGAAAGATGAGTAAATTCATGTTTGAGATTCTGATGGCTCCTGCTAAAGTACAGAGGCCAGGTAAGCCCAACTCTGTACAAACCAGCTATGGGTTTCCAGGGGAATCTCCAGATTCTTTGA